TATATATATAATATTATCAAAATTGTGTGTTACATCGGATGTAGATCATTTTCTTGACATAAGGAAATCCCATAAGGACATTTATTTTGACATTTTTAGCTTAAAATAGGTTGTAAAATATTGGATAATCAAACAACAGAAACAAATTTGGCAATTAAATGTTTCAGTATTTTAAGTGAGTTATTTGAGGGTGTTAAATTATGCAAAACACCAATTTCAAGTTCCACTCATATAATACACCGCGTAAACAAATTGGTTCAATGATTTTGTACAAACATTGGTATTTCTATTATCTAAATTATTTAAAAACTACGAACTTATTGACAATTTCTCTCATAAGATATTTACAATTAAAAAAAATAAAATAGAGATGCAAGCATTAAAATATAAAATTAATGTGATTGATTTTTCCGATTTCACAAATTTAGAATCTATTGGTAAAGGAAAAATCCATAGAGCTGCATGGAACGATTGCAAAACAACTGTAGCTCTAAAATCATTCCAAGAAAAGAATGATGAATTTTTTAAGGAGCTTAAGGTATTTCTCAAAATGTATGCATAAGTAAATCTTTAGTTTTGATGATAAATTTATATTTTATAGGCCTTTATAGATTTTTATAAAGTTAGTTGTCATCCAAACATTATTGGATTTTATGGAGTTACCAAATGTATTATTTAATTACATCTCTTTTATTCAATCTTGTGTGGTTAATATTCTTATATTTAATTTAACATCGTTAAATATTAAATATCTAGGTTCCTCCAATCAGCCTTTGTTTGTTTTCGAATATGCAAATAATGGAACTTTACGTGAGTATTTAGTAAAGAATTATTCGGAGCTAAGTTGGAATGATAAACTTCGTATTGCAAAGGAAATTTCAGATGGTCTTTGGTTCATGCATCGGAACAATATTATCCATAGTGATCTTGTAGGTTATAGTTACTTATAATTACATACCGTATTTTCGCGAAATAATATAAGCTTAATTCGGGCCAAATTTCGAAATTACACCTCTGAACGTTGTTTCGCGAAAATACGGTATGCAATAATTCTAAGTGCATGAACATTAATAAATATTTATTTTCTTTAGCATATCAACAGCGTATTTGTTCATAACGGTACACCGAAAATCGCAAATTTCGGGCCATCCTTTTCATCAGACTCAATTGCTTATGTTGATCCTAAATATTTTTTTATAAATCAATATAAACGTACTATGAAATCCGATATCTACAGTTTCGGTGTTATGCTCTGGGAGATTTCAAGCGGCAAAGAGCCCTTTAAGAATTTGGAGAATGATGAAATAATTTCACGTATTCGAAGAGGAGAAAGAGAAATACTCGTAGAAGGTACACCACCTGGATATTTTGAACTTTATAACCGCTGTTGGAATGAAGAACCTACAGATCGACCAGATGCCACAGTCATTCATGAAATTTTAGAAAAGATTTTTGGCAAGGTATAGATGTGTTGATCATGGAGTTATAAACTTATTATTATCTTATGGCAACATAAGTACATTGATCATTAATCTATATTTTATTATATTCTTTCAGACCAAATCAGAATCAATGATTGAATACCCCAAAATCGATTTAGAATCTAAAATCAAATCTTAAAATAATATTACCAAGAGAGAATTTACATATAAGGTCCATAAAAATTAAAATAATTACTAATAGAGAATTTACATATAAGGGCCATAAAAATTAAAATAATTACTAATAAGGGCCTAAAGTGAAAATAATTACATATAAGGGTCCAAAATTTAAAAATATTACAATCAAAGGTCCAAATTTATCATAAGATTGTAAATTTTTAGCGTATAAAACTATAATAAATGAAATGTGACATTTAAACGTATTACTTTCTAATCTTATTCTCTTAGCGCTTTTCATGTAAAAATTATAACCACTTTTGCCGATTTTTAAAAGTAATTTAACGTTCTCTACCAATAAAAATGAGCTTCTTCTGTTCTAAATATCTTCGATTAATGCATAATAACCTTCACAAAATATTGGTTTACTAGTTTGGTATAGTGATAGAATAAACATATTGGTTTAGAACCGAATAAACATTACAATATCAATACATATCATATTTAATAGTCGAATTGTTTCTTGGTTAAAAGAAAGTTTATTAAGCGAAAGGTAAAGTATAAAATGTATGAATCAATATACCGGGTATATATTTATGGTTATAACGTTCGAAGAACCACTCCACTATCATCATAACGTAAAGTTATTTTGTAAAATTTTCAAAATTTGGGTCTTTATATGTAATTAATTATTTTCCCTTTGGGCCCTTATTTGTAATTATTTTAATTTTTCGTGCCCTTATATGTAAATTCCCCTATTATTAAGGGTAGAGTGTATGTAGATCATTTCTACTAATAAACGAGTGACCAAAAATATTTTTACTGCGAATTTAAAAG